CTCAAACTCCTAGAAAAACAAGAACAAGCAAATCCCAAAACAAATATGAGAGAAATAATAAAAATAAGAGCTGAAATCAATGAAATAGAAACCAAAAAAACCATGCAAAGAATTAATGAAACAAAATGTTGGTTCTTTGAAAAAATAAACAAGATCAACAAACCCCTGGCAACCTGACTAAAATGAGGAGAGAAAAAAACCATTAGTAGAATGAGGAATGCAAAGGGGAGATAAAACAAACACCAGGGAATCCAGGAAATCATCAGAGACTACTTTGGAAGCCAATATCCAAATAAATTTCGAAAGTCTTAAAGAAATGAAACAGATTTCTAGATACATATGATCACCCAAACTGAACCAGAGGAATATTAATCACCTGAAGAGATCTATAACACCAAAATGAAATTGAAGCAGCAATCAAGAGTCTCCCCAAAAAGAAAAGTCCGGACCTGATGGATTCTCTCCTGATTCTATCAACCTTTAAAGAAGAAGAACCAACCTCCTTAAACTGTTCCACGAAAATAGAAAGGGAAGGAAACTGCCTAACACATTTTATAAGCCAGTATTACACTTACCCCAAAACAAGGCAAAGACATCCAAAAAGAGAACTATAGGCCAATCTCGTAATGAACATTGATGCAAAAAATTTTCAATAAAATAAATGGAAACCGAATTCAACAACACATCAAAAAGATTATTCACCACAACCAAGTAGGCTTCATCCCAGGAATGCAGGGTGGTTCAACATACAAAGCAATAAACGAATAAACCACATAACAGAAGCAAAAGACAAAAACCACTTGATCATCTCAATAGATGCAGAAAAAGCCTTTGAATAATACAACACCATTCATGATAAAAGCTCTAAGAAACTAGGAACTAGAAGGAAGTACCTCAACATTAAAAGCTATATATGACAAACCTACAGCCAGCATTATAACTTAATGGAGAAAACTGAAACCATTCCCCTAAAATCAGGAACCTAGACAAGGATCCCCACTATCTCCACTCCTATCAACTAGTACTGGAATTCCTAGCCAGAGCAATTAGGCAAGAAGAAGGAATAAAAGGAATCAAATAGGTAAAGGAAACTGTCAAAATATCCCTATTTGCAGACGACATGATCATATACCTTAAAGAACCAAAAACTCTACTCAGAAGCTCTTAAACACCATCAATAGCTAAGCTAGTAGTTAGGCTATTAAAATCAACATAGAAAAATCATAGCATTTCTATTACACTAATAATGAACAACTGAGAAAGAATATATGAAAACCAATTCCATACGATAGCCTAAAAAAAGATTCCAAATACCTAGGGTTTTAAACCCAACAAAGGGATGTGAATGACCTCTACAAGGAAAAACTATAAACTCTGAGAAAGATTGAGGAAGACTATTAGAAGTGGAGAGATCTCCCAAGTCATGGATTGGTAGAATAACATAGTAAAAATGTCGATACTCCCAAAAGTAATCTACATGTTCAATGGCAATTCCCATCAAAATCCAAATGACATCATAAACAGATTTAAAAATCTTGCATTAGCTTTATATGGAAACACAAGAGGCCATTGAATAGCTAAGGCAATTCTCAGGCAAAAGAGCATGCTGGAGTATCACAATTAACCCCCTTCAAACTTTATTACAAAGCAATTAGAATAAGACAGCTGGTACTGCACCAAAAATAAACATGAAGCCTTGGAACAGAGAGGACCCAGATATGAAGCCAACAACTATAACAACTTGTGTTTGACAAAAGGTGCTAAAATTACGGATGGAGAAAAGACAGCCTCTTCAATAAAAACTGCTGGGAAAATGAGCAGTCTGCAAAAAATGAAAACAATCCATGTATATTTCACCCTATACCAATATTAACTTCAAAGGATCAAGGATCTTAATATCAGAACCAAAACTCTAAAGTTGTACAGGAAAGAGTAGAAATACTCTGGAATTAAAGGTATAGGTAGGAAATACTCTGGAAGTTAGTAGGTATAGGTAAGAAACTTCTCAATGGAAACCCAGCAGCACAGCAACTAAGAGATAGCATAGATTAAATGGACCTCATAAAACTAAAAAGCTTCTGTTCATCAAAAGAAATGGTCTCTAAACTGAGAGAACACCCACAGAGTGGGAGAAATATTTCCAGCTACACATCAGGACAAAGGACTGATAACCAGAATATATAGGGAACTTAAAAAACTTAAATTCTCCCAAATAATTGAACCAATAAAGAAATGGGCAAGTGAACTAAACAGAACTTTCTCAAAAGAAGAAATTCAAATGCCAAAAAACACCATGAAAAAATGCTCACCATCTCTAGCAATAAAGGAAATGCAAATTAAAACCACACTAAGATTCCACCTCACCCCTGTTAGAATAGCCATCATCAGCAACACCACCCAACAGGTGTTGGCGAGGATGCGGGAAAAAGGAACCCTCTTACACTGCTGGTGGGAATGTAAAACTAGTACAACCACTCTGGAAAAAAATTTGGAGGCTACTTAAAAGCTAAACATTGATCTACCATAGATCCAGCAATACCACTCTTGGGATATACCCAAAAGACTGTGACACAGGTTACTCCAGAGGCACCTGCACACCCATGTTATTGCAGCACTATTACAATAGCCAAGTTATGGAAACAGCCAAGATGCCCAGTACTGACAAATGGAATTAAGAAAATGTGACAAATGGGTATTTATACACAGATGGAATTTTATTGCAGCCATGAAGAAGAACGAAATGTTATCATTTCTCAGGTAAAATGATGGAATTGAGACACACCATTCTGAGTGAGGTTAGCCTGCGCCCAAACAACAAAGGGATTGGACCTGGATCACATGATATAAGCAAGAGCACACAAGAAGTATGAGGATAGGTAGACACTTAAAAAACTGATTAGCATTTTGTTGCCCTCAACACAGAGAAACTATAAACAGATACTTTAAAGCAACTGAGGCCAATAGGAGAAGGGGACCAGGGAACTAAGAAAAGGTTAGTTCAACGAAGAATTAACTTAGAAGGTAACATACATGCACAGGAAATCAAGTGCGAGTCAACTCCCTGTATGAGCTACCTTATCTCAACTAACACAAACCTTGTTTCCTTCCTATTATTGCTTATACTGCGTCTTCAAACAAAATTAGGTAAGAGCAAAATAGTTTCGCCAGGTGTCAAGGGTGCAGGGGGAAAGAGGGAGGGGGTGGGGGGGGAGTAAGGGGAAGGAGGTGGGGGAAGGGAGGAGAAATGACCAAAACATTGTATGCACATATGAATAAAATAAAAATTTAAAAAAAAAAAACTAAAGCAGCCTACATTCTTGTATAGTTGTCAGTAAAACACTAGCTACTTATGTCTATAATGCATTAATAACACTGTTAACACTAAGATTGTAATAGCTGTGTGTGTATAGGATATGCATATATAAATAACTGAAATTATCCAAAGCTTTGCTTTTTTATAAGCCATGCATTGTAGAAAATCAAATCAACTCAAAATTTTTGTTTATCTATAAGAAACATATAATCCCTGGCATGTGGACGATGGCAGGTTTCTCACTCCCCTCACTGGCAATAGTATTCTACATTAATGTGGAAGAAAAGCAAGAGGGAAAAAAAAAAAACCAACAATCGGAAGAAGCTCATTTTTTTGCTTTTCCTTTTTTTCCACACAAAAACAGAGAAACCACTGGACCACACTTGATGTCTACTGCTGCTCATCCCAGATGTTTTATGTTGCTCAACAACCTTATGTTTGGGGGCATCCAATGTGTTCCTTCCAGACCTCTTAGAGTTCTCTATCTATCCAAAAGACCCAAAGATTTCCTGGGTGATTTAACAATGCTAAGTCACTGAGAATATAAAAGCTACCCTACCTTAGGCTAAGCCCACTGGCATTTATATTTTCCTAGCACTTGCATAAGCCACAGAGCAGGAAGCTATGGTCTTCCTGTTCCCTTTCATGGGTAATGCTGTGTCAATTTCAAAGACTAATCACTGCAAGAGCACCTCATGCTCAGAAAATGGGCCAGGTTCCAAAGAACAACACTGCCTGCCATCCCAGGTGCCGAGGCAATAATTAAAGAGAATTAACTTCAATGAGCAGGCCAGTAAAAGCAATGGCCAACTGTGGGGCATGGACCAACTTCTTTGTGGTGAACCACAGGAGCCATTTCTGATAGTCAAATGTACAGACTACATCTTTCAACCTCCCAGATACTAGCAGTGCCTATTAGGAGTATCAAGAACAGACAGAAGTTTGTCTCCTCTCACACTGCCTCAAGTTTTTTTGCTATACAAAACTGTGTTGCCAGCAGTAGCACACCAATGGCCTAAATTCATAATGCATGGGAAGAATGGGTAACAAATAATGAAAACTGAACAAAAAATAGACAACAGCAAAAGCACTTGGTAAAGTCACTTCACTATTCATCCCAGGCTCCAGGGCCATTGCTTTAAAGGTAAGACAGGGAGCTACTATGAATTTTGTTTCTCTAGTTCAAAGGAAATCCATAGATGTCGTAACATCCTCGTAGTCTTAATGTCACTTTTACAAATCTCAAAGAAACTGCTTTATAGTTGGGCTCTGCCGTAGTTTAGATCTTCAATACCCCCCAAAGACCCATGTGTTGGAGGACTGGTTGCCAGCATGATGGCACTGGGAGGTAATGGAAACTTTACGAGGTGGGGCCTAGTGAGTGGATGGCCTTCAAACCACTGAGGGCATACCCTTGAAGGGGATAATGGAACTCCAGCCCCTTCTTCCTCTTTTTTTTACTTCACAACCATGTGGTAAATAGTTTTACTCCCACATTCACTTCTGCCAAGATATGCTACAACTGGTCCAAAGCAAGAGGGACAATCTTCATGGACTAAAATCTCCAAAACTGTAAGTCAAATAAATTTTCTCTCTTTACAAGCTGACTGTCTCAGGTATTTGTTATTGAACAGAAAGCTAAATAACAGTGTCATTCCAAGATTTTATTTCAGAGTAAGCATCCTACCTTTATAGAAGCGATATGCAGCAAAGTCTCTCCTTTATGATTTCTCTTTCTAGCCACAAGGCTACTGGGTGAAAGTTTCATTGTGGAGGGGCTTGATATCATTCGTCTGTAAGTTGAACTATTCAGTGCAGCAGGTGGTGTACATGGCGAAAGGCTAATGGAGTCATCGGATACATTACTGTTTTTCCTCCTGAACATGCCATCAACTTTAACTTTGCTTGAAGGTACTGAAGAATAGTCAAGCAATGGTATGTTTTCTGTAAGTGCTATTTTTTGCTTAACAAAATTCCAACTAGTACTTGGAATACTGCTTCTACATCTCTTAGAAATGGGACTGGAAAGTCTATAGCTACATCCACGTTTTCCATTATGACCTAATGGCAAAGATGTGTTAGAAGTAAGATCATTTTCACAGACCTTCTCAGGAATCACTTCATTCTTGCTCTCAATGTCTGGAGACTCTATATGCTCAGCCAATGTTAAAAAGACATCAGTTGGGCTTCCATAACATTCAGAGTCTGTTATAGGGTCACTTGCTAGTAAGTCTATTTCACCATTTATCTGTGGACTAGCGATAACAGATGGTTGGCTACAGAAGGATACCAGCTTTTCTTTACATTCCTCTTTGAAGTCAAGTTCACCAACATTTTTTTCTGTATCTAAATTCCATTCTTGGTTAATTTCATCTAGAGATCTCTTTTTTGCCTTATTTGCAGGTGTTTTGGAAGCCTTTTTAGGCTTCTTAGAAGCAACTGCAGGAGGACTTGTGGAAACAAATTCATACATTGAGGTTTGCTGAACTTTTCCACCTTCTGTGTTTTGAGGCTGCGTTCGCACTGAAACTTTATTCACAACGTATCTGACCTTCTTACTTCGAGGACTAAACCACATTTTTATTGAATTCTTCTTGTTTTCTGCATCATTAAATAAACTTGTTCTAGATGTATCTTCTTTCAAATCTGATTTAAAAAAAAAGGGAAAAAAAATGTTATAGGGCTTAATCTCTCCTACCTTGAGTTCTCATAGAATTTTGCTTACATTTCTCCTAACGTGTGTCACCACCTTTTATTTGTGTGTCCCTCTCTCCACTCCTAAACTATATGGACTCCTTAAGAGCAGGTAGATATTCCCTCACTCAACAAATTCTTACTGATCCTACATGTGCCAGACAATGTTCTGGAGATGAGCTAAAGCACAGAATAAAATGTGGAACTTACATCCCACTGAGGATAGACAGAAAAATAAGAAAAATATACAGTATGTAAAAAGGGTTATGGAGAAAAAATATACTAGAAGAAAATAAAGGAAAAGAAGAAAGGACCAATGTGGGATTTAATAAGCAGAAAGTATTAATTTATGCATAGTATTTAAAAAGGTATTTTCAGCTAAATCAACATAATTCATTATGCCAACAAACTTAAGGAAAACTATATGGATTTTCTTAATACAGAAAAAAATTAAGATAATCCAACATTCATTTTTTAACACTTAGTATAAAAAAATAAAAATAGAACTACCATTATCTATCTACTATTCCAAAGGAAATAAAATAGTGTATCAAAGAGATAACTACCCAATCATGTTTACTGAAGTACTATTCACAATAGATAAGGTATGGAATTACCTGAAGTGTGAATGGACAAAGAAAATGTAGTATACACACAATGTAATATTATTCAGTCTTAAATAAAATAGTACAATCTTATTATTTGCAAGAACATGATAGAACTAGAGGACACCTTATGGTAAGTGAAATAAGCTATGCACAAAGACAAACACTGGACATTCTTGCAGTGTGAGTAAACTAAAAAAAAAGATGATTTCATAAAAATAGGGAATACAACAATAATCACCAGAAGCTAGGTATAGTGTATATGTAAACGTAGAAGGACACAGATAATGGTATCAAGGCACTTAGACAGGAAGAGTAAATTCCATACACTACAGCATAGTAGGGTGACTATATTCGGCAGCAACTTATGATACATTTAATAAAAAGCTAGAAGAATTTGGAAGTTCTAACACAAAGAAATGATTAATGGCTAAAAGAAAGAAATGCTAATCACCCTGATTTGATCTACGAATTTATACATGTATAAAATCATCACACAATACCCTGTATATGACCAATTTTTAAAATGACACATGATGGCACACTACACACTGTGATCCCAGCTACTTGGGTGACAGAGAGGCCAGCCTGGGTAAAAAGTTAGCAAGACACTATTGCAAAAATAAACTAGGCATGGTGATGTATGTCTGCAATCCCAGCTACCTGACAAGTAGAGGTAAGAAGATCTCTGTTCAAGACCCACCTGGGTGCAATTCACAGGAGACCCTATTTGAAACACACTGAAAGCAAAAAAAGGACTGAGAGTATTGTTCATATGGTAGAGTGCTTACCTAGCAAGCAAAAGGCCCTAAATTCAATTCCCAGCTTCACGATAAATAAACAAACAAACTTTGAATAGAAAAGTGAACCACATGTTAACTATGGACTGTGGGTTCATAGTTCACCAATTGTACCAAATACACTACATTAGTGGGTGATGCTGATAATATGAGAGGCTATGCATATACGGGGCAGGGGAATATGAAAAACCTCTAATTTCCTCTCAATTTTGCTGTGAACTCAAATTGCTCTATAAAAATAAAGTTTTTAAGCTGGGCGTGGTGGCACAGTCTTACAATCTCAGCACTAAGGAAGCTGAGTCACAAGGCCAGCCTGGGTTACACAATGAGACCCCTTCTCAAAACAATCAAAAAAAGTCTTTTAAATTACTTTAAAATGAAAAACAAAAAGACTTAGCAAATTAGGAATGGAACTTCTTCAACTGCTTCTGCAGCATAAAACATATCCTTTCTCTTCACTGAGTCTGAGTAAGATCTGCATTGAAAGATCCCACTCATTCACTCACTAAATGTCAACTGAGCTTCTACTGTGTGAGGCACTGAGGATATGGCAGGGAAGGGAGGAATTTTTTTCCTTCAGAGTTTATGGTTGGGGGAGGTGAGTATGGGGATGGGCACCAACTCAGACTACCAGAGTTGGCTTAAAGATTATTTTAAACTAAAGAGATACACTGAGCAAATGAAGAAAGAAGCCTTTGGGGGGTCTCTTATCTGACTACAGTAACAAACTACTGGGAGTAAGGCTGCCATAATCCTCTCCAAAAACTCATTAACAGAAAGAAAAGAATACAGGGAAGACCACTCCCACTAACAGAAAGAAAAGATTACAGGGAAGACCACTCCTACTTGCACAAACAAACTTTACTGCAAACTTTCTTTTCTCCCATTTGTCCTTCTCACAGGAGTCTTTTTCCCTCACAATTAACTTAGATACAAACCCCCAATCTTTACTTATTTGGAGAGTCAGTCACGTTTTTCTGTGAACTCTCCCTATGTCTTTTTGCCTGCTAATCTATCCTTGTTCAGTTAAATTCATCCACTCTATGCTGAAAGTATAAGAGGAAAAGGAAAAGTTCTTCCTCCCTAACAAATTGTACAAATCACTTTTCTAAGAGCCATTATCTTTCAAGTTGCCTTACTTTGTTTCAGCCTTTGAGTCCATTCATTTTCTTTAAAAAAAAACAATTATCTTGGGGCTGAGAACATAGTTTAGTGGTAGAGTACTTGCCTAAATGTACAAGGCCCTGGGTTGCACCCCTAGCCTCACAAAAAAAAAATCTTAAAATTCTCCTTCTCCCTCCATCTCATATAAACCAACCCAGGTCAAACACAGTAGTGAACATTTAGACAATAATCTGTAAATAGTGATGAATAAATTCTTTGATAGCCTTGTCAATTTTAACAAAGTGCGAGGTTAGAATTAATTTTAAAGGCAGGACTATAGTTCAATGGGAGAATGCTCAAGACCCTAAATTCAATCCCCAGCACCAAAACAAAACAAAACAAAATAACTAAGGAAGAAAACTTGGAGGTCCTTTAGTGCAATTTTCTCATTTTAAAAATGAGAAACCAAAGTTGAAAACAAAAGAGCATAGTCTCGTAACTTCCTAACTATTGGTCTTCTTTCCACACAAAGATTATCAAGAGGTCAATTCAGTTATTAAAACACAAGAATAGCAAAGAAACTGGAAAACAACAACCTGACAAGGTTTTAATACTAGTAATTAACAAATGATTTCATATAGCCTATCATTTTCCACATTAACATGGACTTACTAATCTCCTCTGACCATCTTGGCTACTTGGAACACCTTTTATTTGTCATATTGAAAAAAGAAAAAAGAGCCAGGCACTATTGGCTCATGCCTGTAATCCTAGCTACTTATGAAGGAGAGCTCAGGAGTAGCACAGTTAGAAGCCAGCCTGGGCAAACAGTTTGCAAGCCCTTTCTCAAAAACCCATCACAAAAAAAGGCTGGCGGAGCTGGCAGAGTGACTCAAGTGGTAGAGGGCCTGCTCACCAAGTTATCAAGTGTGAAGGCATGAGTTCCAACCCAAGTACCACCAAAAAAAGAAAAGAAAGAAATGACCTGAACTTGTTTTCCTCCTCAGAAGCCACTTCTCATTAAAGCTAAGGAAAACTCTGTATAAAAACTTTCTTATATTACAGAACCAAAGATAACTTTTAACAGAACAGAGTTCTAAACATGAGGTATTTTAAGAAGAAAATCACTTGTGCACTTTATTCCTCTGGACTGATAACATCCACTGTGTATGAAATAAATTTTTCAAATGTACTTATTATCCTCAAGAACTTTTAATATTCAAGAGACAGCATGTAATTTTAATTTTTTTATTGTTTTTGAGAAAAAATTTCTTTTCATTCTCAGTTCTTAAAATATCAGCAAGAGAAAAGCATATTAGCAAATAATTTTCACTTCCTCTTAGTCATTTTTTTATTCACACAAAACACTATGTTTTATTGTTTTACCAACATAAAAGTATTAATTGTTAACTCAAATCTTGATTCTCTGAAGTTCAGAATCACTTCCTTTGTCTGTTCTTTCACCTTGTATTTCCTGGGTACGTAAGTCCCATCAGATCTACCAGGGAAAAGACAAGTTCTTTTCTTTGCAGTGATAAGCAGATTTGAAAACAAGCCATTTCTGATATAATCTCAAGTCTAGAGGAAAGGTCAAAATGAAATGTTACCAGGATTACTTTTTAAGAAAGACTTGAGATTACAAAGACTTAAAGATTAATCCTTGGGTAGTCTGTAAAAACTAGAATTTGATTTTTTTTAAATTTATTTTTTAAACATAAAGATGACATTTTCAACTAAAACCAAGTCAGATCTTAAACGTTTATATCCTCAGTGTTTATAATACTTACAAAATGTAGAACTCAGCATCTAAATGAAAATTACAGCTTCTATATAGTAGACCACAAATTTCATACTCAGTTTTACATATTTCCTAACTTACCAAGGAGTAAATGAAGAAAATACATATTTATGTGATTTATATGTACACAATCATTTTACCAATCACTGTGTAGTAATAACTTTTCTCAACAAGATTCTAATTAACTTAGTATAACTAAGCTAGGACCACAACCACAAACATGATAGTATATTCTGAATTTTATGCAGCATATTTAAGATAAAGCTGTAAGAAGCAAAACAACACTACAGCTTGAACATAAGTCATTCTATTAACAGCTACAGACATTTGTACGGGTGAATGCTTCTAAGCTTGACAAATTGTCATTTTCATATTATAAAGAAAAACATTGGTCCTTCCTCTTTATGATAAATTTCTTAATGATGACATTTAAAAGAATCCTATTCTCTAAATTTAAATACTTCAGACAAGAGTACACCACAAAAAATCAAGGAACAGTGATACATGTGTTACTAAAGAGCTGCTTTGCCAAGTTCTTTCTTAAAATTTAATAAACCATAGAAAAGAGAAGCAATTAGAAAATGTGATTTCACTATCATTAATGACATCAAAGGATTCTAATGATGTACACTGTGTGCCTTTGAAATTATTGTCTACTACAGGTTTCACAACAGAAGTTGAGAGATCTCTTTCACTAACTAGTCCCTTATTAAAAAAAAAAAAAATCAAAGGAAAGTACTTGCTTACCATCTGTGTAACACTGATGCCTTCACTGAAGAATGATTATTTTGTAAGTTAAGTATTTAGATCAACTTAAAAAAAAAAAACAGCAACACAGCTATTCAAACACTCATCTTCATCTATTATAAAAAGTCACAGCCTATATGAAACACTATGTAATCACTTCAAAAGAACCAGCATCTCTCTCTAAACCAGAAAACAAAAAGGAAAACTGCAATCCTATGAAAGCATAATCAAAGTATTTTTTAATGTCACCAACACCAACAAGTTCCACAAAACTTGACCAGCACCTGCAAGGTCTGATTTAATGAGGAAGTTGAGGAGAAAAACAAAAACTTTTAAGTTTAACTATATTAGTAGAAAACAGTTTATATTATAAGAATAAGGTAAAATTATTCATAAATGGCCATTGGAAAAATCTGACAATCTCCTCTCTTTAAAGTATACTGAACCGAGAAAAATCTAAAGTATTTAGCAGCTCATTTTAGCACATATTACTGTAAATCAGGCTTCTTTATATCCTACACACCACATACCATGTCCATGATTTGCCAAGTTCTATCTAATTGCCCATCTCAATTATAGTAATTATAAATATTATAATAAATGCAAGTAACCAGGTTCATGTAGAAGATAAATAATGAACTACAAGGTTTTTTAAAAGAGATAAAGTGAGGGATGTTCAACCACTCCACTTACTTTATCATTTTCAACATGTGATCATTTAACCAAGTTGCAATTTTGGAACTGGACCTTCAGAAATCACTTAGTCTAACACCCTTATCTTATAATGAGATATTTTCTATTCTCATTATAATGAGGATCAACTATAGTTTGTTCCCAATTATTGCTTCTTTCCAAATATTGTGTAGTTCACCTTATACCACCTTAGTTCTAAGTATTTACTAAAATACACAAAAGGACAACATTAAATATATAAATAGATAAAATATAAATAAGCAAAGGAAAATGCTCCAGAAAAAAAAATCCAAAATACCCTTCAAGGATGGGAGGACTCTGGGAGGTAAAGCTGATGACAGTGCAATTTATATTAAAATAGAAAAATCTGTGTACCATGGAAATTAATGCATCTAGGTGGATATATTTCAGCATGCTTATACTCTAGATTATTGTATTTTCTAACAAGAGAGCAAAGGAGGATGTCACCATTACAAAATGAATCATGTTAACAAAAACCTGAGAATTTCAAAAATTATTTTAAGTTTAATTTCCAACATATGAATTACTTATAGCACTACCAATTTTTATGCGACTCAATTCAATCATAACAAATACGTCTACTCTTAAAAAAAACTGTTCCAAACAGAAAAACATACACAAGAAACTTCCAAAGTGACAGCCCTGTACAACTTGGGTCCTCAATCTTCTCGCCTACAGAATAAGGGAATTAAAGAAGTCCCTGTAGCCCCAAAATTCTGATTATGTGCTATCTAAAAGAGCTAAACACCAATTCATCCTAACTATGTAAGAACTAACATGATTATTGATATTACTTTACCTTATTTGTGGTGCTGGGAATAGAACCCACAGAGCTCTCATTTTACTCTTAAAATAATGAAAACACAAAATAGCCTTTGGAAAATAAATTACCATAATTCTTCCACTATCACCTCTACTTATATGAAAAAGATCATATTCTGAAAGGTCTCAGATCATACCTTGAACCTTGTTTGAAACTCAGTTTTCCTATAGACCATTTCCTATTCCATGGTCTATAAAATATGAAAAGTACACTAATGATTCAAATATTCACTATAGTAAAATTTCTAGGAGTCTACCTATTCCTTTTTGTACTTCAAGTACGTGGTAACCCAACATGCCATAACTGATGGCAGACAGCCAACAAAGTTACCCTGACTTCCTCCCATTTTATCACCATTAAAAATGTCAATTTACTTTTTACAGGTTAAATTATGTCTTTCCACTCATTTCCTAATACTTCCCTTCTTGCTTCCTCCCATGTTGAGGCCTTAACCCCTAGTACCTCAGAATGTAACCTTATCTGGAAACAGGGTTACTTACTATAGATTCAATTAGTTAAAATGAGGCTATACTGGAATAGGACGCAGGATTAATCCAATATGACGGAGATCTTGCAAAAAAGAGAAATTTGATGCAAGCCCTCTTGAAAAAAAGGACATGAGGTGAACATAAGATAGCCATTTATAAGCCAAGGAGATAGGCCTGGAAAGGTTGCCCCCACAAAGACCTCAGAGGGCATCAACCCTGCAAATACTTTGATCTCAGACTTGCAGCTCCAGAACTGTGACACAATAATATTTCTCTTACTTATGCCACCCTCCATTTTGTTAAAGCATCTCTAGTAATCATTTACATTATTACACCGTAACTAAGGAAAGACAAATCAAAATATCAGGACAGTCTCAAAGTAACACTCCAAATTTCAATTCATGGCCAATAATCCAAATGAATTACATACCTTTAGAATACAATGCAAGCCACTCTCATAGAGACATGAACACTGTTCACACTGTACCATTAACTCAAGGGCCTCACTGGCTTCCACACCCACAGTTCTGTACACTGCAAACATGCATAAACCCTGGATTGGGAATCCCTGTATTGATCCAAAGTTCTCAATCTATGGGGAGCTGGAGGAGCCAGATCACACAGCAATCCTTTCGACTAGAAAATAAACACTATCAAGCATTGCCTTTTAGGAAGAAATGAGTTCAGATGAACTAATGACAAAAAATTTCATTTTATTTTTAAAAGAGGTTTATATCCACAATATTCTCTTTTAAAGTAAGATTTTAAAATATATGTGTACATATATATATACACATATTTGTGTGTATAATTACATCTGAAAATAAGCATATCAATTATAGCATATTTTAATATTAAAAAATGGAGTCTCATATAATGATCCAGATAATAAAATGGAAACTTTTGATAGACTACACATTAAATTCTTCTTAAAAATACAGAGCTAGACTGTATGTGTAGCTCAAGCAGTAGAGCTCCTGTTTTGCAAATGCCCTGGGTTCAAACCCCAGTTCTACAAAAAAATTTTAAAAATCAAAAAAAAATATGGCCTCTGGTCAACAGACTTAAAGTATTTGTCTTATTTCTTTATTTTGTTCAATCTACTTCATGTTTAGTAGCTGACAATAACACCATCATGTCGTAAGTCAAAGAACACAATATATAAAAGCTGAAATGCAACAATTTTATATTAGCACTATTAATCATTCATAGCATCCTGCCAGGCAAGAAAAGATATTCCTATAAGCACATGCTAAAATGATATGATCTGGTCAATAAAAAGACAACTCCAATATCCAATTATAAAGACTTAAACATTTTACTTTCTTTTCACAGCTAATTAGTTCTCAGCAGAAAGCACAATGGGAAGAGATATAGTTAATACACAGTATAAAAAACAATTTGAAAAACATTAGTCCCCATTTAAATAAAGAAAATGAATATTAAATTTTGCCTTTCAAAATGTGCTCATCCAATTAATTCAGTCTAGAAAAGTGATTCATGGAAGACTTTTATTTTATCTTGCAAAAATGTATTTAAGTGAGTTAAGCACTAGTATGGAAAAAATCACTACCCTATATATATTCTACACAAATTATCCCAAGTGTGAAAGGCAGCCAGTGTAAAGTAGTAAAAAAGTCTCTGACTGACAATCAGAAATAGGCTCCATTTCCCCTGCTTCTAGTACTAACTATATACATGAGGGCAGGTAAGACCACTTGACCTCTCTGGATCTGGGTATCTCATCTATAAGATAAGAGAGTTAGACTTAATCGTCTGTTTCCTGTCATTTCTCAAAAATGATTAAAAAAAAAAAACCACTACATATCTTAAAATTCAACACGTCACTCAGAATTCCAGGTAGCTCTTCTATGTTCTTTATGTGATCAATATCAATCCATCAGTTATTTAACTAAAAGAGACAGTGACATTTCTCACCTGAAAGCTTATTGTCATGTAGCAAGTTTCGAAGCTTGCTACACAGCTGGATCATGCTGTCCAATTGTCTGTTCATCTTAACATCTAGTATCCAGGCTGGGGTGTAACATACTGGACACTCTGTTCCAATGCAGTCGCTTACACAATCACTTAAAAAGAATTAAATAAAACACATTCAGCAGAATCTGAACACCAAAAATTAAACAACAGAGTATAAACAGGAGTAAATAAACCAGAGATGTCTCTAACATGTAATGGTCAATTGTAAAATACTTGTTAAAAAAGTATGCTTTAGAGAGTATGATACACACACATAAAATCTAAAGCTGCAAAATGATGAGACTTTACTTGGCTTGGCATCAGTCTGCATAATTTTTTCCCTGCAGACAAATCTATAGTTTCTAAAGGGTGAGGGTACAGAGAGAAATGTAAAGAGTATCTAATACAATGTGGCCATGCATCTCAACCTCTCTTATCCTAAAACTTAATGCTCTGCTTCATGGAAATACCTAAAGTTAGTGCAAAGAGACTAAGAAAGCATCATTTATTTTTTTGTTTTGTTGAGTCTAAGGGCTTTAAAGTAGTATTTGAAAGAAGATTTTTGGCTCTTTCAAATAGCTTTATAGCCTGTAGACTCAGTTACCTCAGGTTATCTGTTGTTTAAGTGGTATAGTGTCAGTTAAGACAGAAGGTTTTCCTAAATTTTAGAATTACATACCCTTCACAAATTTGATGAAAAGGAGTGAAGTAGTTCACAATTCCCCTAAAGCCCACCCATGAACCTTTAAATCTACTCTTCCTTAGCCTCACCAGATCGGTTCAAGCAGGATTGGGAAACATAAAGACGGTAAAAGTCACATCTCCCCCAAGCACTATACTGACCCACTCATTTATTTGTACAAAGGATATTAACTATTTTGACAAAACCTGTGGCATTTCTAATTTTTGTATCCTTGGCTCTTAGCATGACTCCTGAACTAACTCAAAAAGAGTTGAAGATGAATCTGTAACCCATAGTGTAGCCAGGAGAGACCTTGGAGAGCATCCAGTTCAATAAATGCCAATCTCTTTAGCAAAGAAACTTGTAAATTTGGGTGCTTGCAGTCAAGACTTTAACTTGATTAACAGTTTATGAGAGATTCCAAGATGGCGGCTAGAGGCAGAAAGCGACCCTCCTATAGGGAAATCTTGGAGAGACGCTGGAGACACACTTTTCAGGCATAATCACTGAGAAAAGGCATAACTTTGACCCCTCCACATCTCCAGCCGGTGCAGAGAATCTTCACTTCACGTTAAACGGAGAAACGAGGAGGGCCCCCAGGGCCGCCAGTGGCCGGCGCGCATACGGCGTGGGAAGACGCGGACCAGCTTACTGTCGATTAGTACACTAACACTCCCTGTTTATACCTTTGAAACTCTCTTGTCTGATACCTTGTTCTGCTTTCTCCCTCTTGTCTGTATATTTGTTTTCCCCTTTTCTTTAACTTCTTGCTTTCCATCTCAGCTCACTCTTCCATTCTCAATATTACCATTGTTATTATTACAAGCTAGAAAATACTTAATTACACACAGTACTGGGACAGTAACAACACCAAGGACAATGATGGGAAGACAGAAAAAACAGGGAAACCAGTTTCCCCACAGCAAAAAATTAGTACAGGACCCAGAGGGGAATGAAGAGAACAGAAACTCAGATCCAGACTCCAACAAAATGAAGATAAACTATGCCAAAGGACCCAATGAAGCCCACAAGAATAATTTAAAAGAAGACATACTACAAGTACTCAATGAGAATTTTATAGAGATGATACTGGATAGGGTCAACCAAAATGTACAGGAGACACTCAAGAAATTCCAAGACAACAAAAATAGAGAATTTGAAAAAGCAAAAGAAGAAATAAAGGAAACCATAGAAGCACTGTATAAACACCAAAGTGAAAGAGAGAACACAATGAATAAATGGATAAATGAACTCAGGACAAAAATAGACAACAATAAAGAAGAAAAATGCCAGGATATGGAAAACCTCAGAAAAAAGAACGAAACAGAACTGCAAAACAAAATGGAAGGCCAATCCAGCAGAATAGAACAAACAGAAGACAGAATCTCAGAACTTGAAGATGAAATGGTAATTAAAGGAAAAACCGAAGAACTATTAATTAAACAACTCAAGACCTGTGAAAAGAAAATGCAAGAACTCACTGACTCCATCAAAAGACCAAACTTGAGAATCATGGGCATCGAAGAAGGAGAAGAGGTGCAAGCGAAGGGAATGCGTAATATATTCAACAAAATAATAGAGAAACATATTCCCATACAAATGCAAGAGGCCTCCAGGACACCAAACAGACCAGATCAAAATAGAACTACTCCACGACATATCATCATTAAAACAACAAGTTCAGAAACTAAGGAAAGAATACTGAAGGCTGTAAGAGAGAAAAAAACAAGTAACATACAAAGGTAAACCCATCAAAATCACAGCAGACTTCTCAACAGAAACATTAAAAGCAAGAAGAGCATGGGGTGAGATCTTCCGGGCACTGAATGAAAATAACTTCAACCCCAGGATACTCTACCCAGCAAAGCTATCATTCAAAATAGATGGAGCAATAAAAGTCTTCCATGATAAGCAGAAACTAAAACAATATGTGACCACAAAGCCACCATTACAAAAGATTCTGCAAGGGATCCTGCACACAGAAAGTGACACCCAACTTAACCATGAAAAGGCAGGCAGCACCAAACCACAGGATAAGAAAAAGCAAGACAGTAGAGAGTAACATCAAGTTAGGTACACACAATCAAACCTTCAAACAACTAAGACAACTAAATGGCAGGAATCACCACATACCTATCAGTACTAACACTTAATGTTAATGGACTTAATTCACCCATCAAAAGACACCGTTTGACAAAATGGATTAAAAAAGAAGATCCAACAATTTGTTGCTTACAGGAGACTCATCTCACCGACAGAAATAAGCATATGCTTAGGATGAAAGGCTGGAAGAAGATTTACCAAGCCAATGGCCCCCGAAAACAAGCAGGAGTAGCAATACTTATCTCTGACAAAGTAGACTTCAAACCTACATTGATCAAACGAGATAAAGAAGGACATTCCATACTAATAAAAGGGGAAATAGACCAAAAGGAAATAATAATCATCAATCTGTACGCACCCAATGTCAACGCACCCAATTTCATCAAACATACCCTGAAAGACCTAAAAGCATATATAAATGCCAACACAGTGGTTGTGGGAGACTTTAACACTCCATTATCATCAATAGATAGGTCATCCAAACAAAAACTCAATAAAGAAATCCAAGATCTAAAATATGCAATAGATCAAGTGGACCAAGCAAGCCTCAGCAAATATAAGAAAATAGAAATAATACCATGCATACTATCTGACCACAATGCAGTAAAAGTAGAACTCAACAACAAAAGTAAAGACAAAAAACATGCAAACAGCTGGAAACTAAATAACTCATTACTTAATGAAGAGTGGATCATCAATGCAATAAAAGAGGAAATTAAAAAGGTCCTGGAAGTCAATGAAAATGAAAACACAACCTACCGGAACCTATGGGACAAAGCTAAGGCAGTCTTGAGAGGAAAGTTTATAGCCATGAGTGCATATATTAAAAAGATTGAAAGATCCCAAATCAATGACCTAATGATACATCTCAAACTCCTAGAAAAACAAGAACAAGCAAATCCCAAAACAAATAGAAGGAGAGAAATAATAAAAATAAGAGCTGAAATCAACGAAATAGAAACCAAAAAAACCATACAAAGAATTAATGAAACAAAAAGTTGGTTCTTTGAAAAAATAAACAAGATCGATAGACCCCTGGCAAACCTGACTAAAATGAGGAGAGAAAAAACCCAAATTAGTAGAATCAGGAATGCAAAAGGGGAGATAACAACAAACACCATGGAAGTCCAGGAAATCATCAGAGACTACTTTGAGAACCTATATTCAAATAAATTTGAAAATCTAAAGAAATGGACAGATTTCTAGATACATATGATCATCCAAAACTGAACCAAGAGGAAATTAATCACCTGAATAGACCTATAACACAAAATGAAATTGAAGCAGCAATCAAGAGTCTCCCCAAAAAGAAAAGTCCAGGACCTGATGGATTCTCTGCTGAATTCTATCAGACCTTTAAAGAAGAACTGATACCAACCCTCCTTAAACTGTTCCATGAAATAGAAAGGGAAGGAAAACTGCCAAACACATTTTATGAAGCCAGTATTACACTTATCCCAAAACCAGGCAAAGACACCTCCAAAAAGGAGAACTATAGGCCAATCTCCTTAATGAACATTGATGCAAAAATCCTCAACAAAATAATGGCAAACCGAATTCAGCAACACATCAAAAAGATTATTCACCACGACCAAGTAGGCTTCATCCCAGGGATGCAGGGGTGGTTCAACATACGAAAATCAATAAACGTAATAAACCACATTAACAGAAGCAAAGACAAAAACCACTTGATCATCTCAATAGATGCAGAAAAAGCCTTTGATAAGATCCAACATCATTTCATGATAAAAGCTCTAAGAAAACTAGGAATAGAAGGAAAGTTCCTCAACATTATAAAAGCTATATATGACAAACCTACAGCCAGCATTATACTTAACGGAGAAAAATTAAAACCATTCCCTCTAAAATCAGGAACCAGACAAGGATGCCCACTATCTCCACTCCTATTCAACATAGTACTGGAATTCCTAGCCAGAGCAATTAGGCAAGAAGAAGGAATAAAAGGAATACAAATAGGTAAAGAAACTGTCAAAATATCCCTATTTGCAGACGACATGATCCTATACCTTAAAGACCCAAAAAACTCTACTCAGAAGCTTCTAGACATCATCAATAGCTATAGCAAGGTAGCAGGATATAAAATCAACATAGAAAAATCATTAGCATTTCTATACAACAATAATGAAAACAAACTGAAAAAGAATGTATGAAAACAATTCCATTTACAATAGCCTCAAAAAAAATCAAATACCTAGGTGTAAACCTAACAAAAGATGTGAAAGACCTCTACAAGGAAAACTATACACTTCTGAAGAAAGAGATTGAGGAAGACTATAGAAAGTGGAGAGATCTCCCATGCTCATGGATTGGTAGAATCAACATAGTAAAAATGTCGATACTCCCAAAGTAATCTACATGTTTAATGCAATTCCCATCAAAATTCCAATGACATTCATTAAAGAGATTGAAAAATCTGTTAAATTTATATGGAAACACAAGAGGCCACGAATAGCCAAGGCAATACTCAGTCAAAAGAACAATGCAGGAGGTATCACAATACCTGACTTCAAACTATATTACAAAGCAATAACAATAAAAACAGCATGGTACTGGCACAAAAACAGACATGAAGACCAGTGGAACAGAATAGAGGATCCCAGATATGAAGCCACACAACTATAACAACTTATCTTTGACAAAGGAGCTAAAAATATACGATGGAGAAATAGCAGCCTCTTCAACAAAAACTGCTGGGAAAACTGGTTAGCAGTCTGCAAAAAACTGAAACTAGATCCATGTATATCACCCTATACCAAGATTAACTCAAAATGGATCAAGGATCTTAATATCAGACCCAAACTCTTAAGTTGATACAAGAAAGAGTAGGAAATACTCTGGAGTTAGTAGGTATAGGTAAGAACTTTCTCAATGAAACCCCAGCAGCACAGCAACTAAGAGATAGCATAGATAAATGGGACCTCATAAAACTAAAAAGCTTCTGTTCATCAAAAGAAATGGTCTCTAAACTGAAGAGAACACCCACAGAGTGGGAGAAAATATTTGCCAACTATACATCAGACAAAGGACTGATAACCAGAATATACAGGGAACTTAAAAAACTAAATTCTCCCAAAACTAATGAACCAATAAAGAAATGGGCAGTGAACTAAACAGAACTTTCTCAAAAGAAGAAATTCAAATGGCCAGAAAACACATGAAAAAATGCTCACCATCTCTAGCAATAAAGGAAATGCAAATTAAAACCACACTAAGATTCCACCTCACCCCTGTTAGAATAGCCATCATCAGCAACACCACCAACAACAGGTGTTGGCGAGGATGCGGGGAAAAAGGAACCCTCTTACACTGTTGGTGGGAATGTAGACTAGTACAACCACTCTGGAAAAAAATTTGGAGGCTACTTAAAAAGCTACATCGATCTACCATTTGATCCAGCAATACCACTCTTGGGGATATACCCAAAAGACTGTTACTCCAGAGGCACCTGCACATCCATGTTTATTGCGGCACTATTCACAATAGCCAAGTTATGGAAACAGCCAAGATGCCCCACCACTGACGAATGGATTAAGAAAATGTGGTATCTATACACAATGGAATTTTATGCAGCCATGAAGAAGAACGAAATGTTATCATTCGCTGGTAAATGGATGGAATTGGAGAACATCATTCTGAGTGAGGTTAGCCTGGCCAAAAGACCAAAAATCGTATGTTCTCCCTCATATGTGGACATTAGATCAAGGGCAAACACAACAAGGGGATTGGACTATGAGCACATGATAAAAGCGAGAGCACACAAGGGAGGGGTGAGGATAGGTAAGACACCTAAAAACTAGCTAGCATTTGTTGCCCTTAACGCAGAGAAACTAAAGCAGATACCTTAAAGCAACTGAGGCCAATAGGAAAAGGGGACAGGACTAGAGAAAAGGTTAGATCAAAAAGAATTAACCTAGAAGGTAACACCACGCACAGGAAATCAATGTGAGTCAATGCCCTGTATAGCTATCCTTATCTCAACCAGCAAAACCCTTGTTCCTTCCTATTATTGCTTATACTCTCTCTACAACAAAATTAGAAATAAGGGCAAAATAGTTTCTGCTGGGTATTGGGGGGGGAGGAGGGGGGAGTGGGTGGTAAGGGAGGGGGTGGGGCAGGGGGAGAAATGAACCAAGCCTTGTATGCACATATGAATAATAAAAGAAAAATGAAAAAAAAAAAATATCATTAAACATAAAAGAAGAAATAATAGCAAAAAAAAAAAAAAAGACTTTAACTTGAGTCAGACATGTTGGTGACCTGCAGCTGGGAGGCTAAAATGGGAGGATCACGTGAGGGAATACAAAATCAATCCCAGCCACAGAGCAAAACCCTAAGACCCCGTCTAGAACAAAACAAAACAAAATCTCTAACTTGGAGTCCCAACAAAAAATGTACTAATTACTCAGGCAATTTAATTCAATTTTCACATAACAACTATTTGAAGAATAGCAGTAAAATACAATCTGAAATTCATTCCTCAAGAACGGCCACTTCATTTTTAGCTTAAGAAAATTAGATTAGAGTTTTTACTCCCATTTCAAAACTGTGTGTGGAGCAGGAACTGTTTCTTTTCTTCCCCCATTTCTTCCTACTTTATCCTATTAAAATAAATCTTTGCTAAAACAAGAAAGAGAGAGAGAGAAAGAAAGGAAAGGAAGGAAGGGAGGGAAGGAGGGAAGGAGAGAGGGAGGGAGGAATCCAGAAGTCACTTATTCAGCACTACATTACTACTTAGAACAGTCTATTTTACATATAGATTTGTATATCCTATTCAAAATGCCTGGGACCAGAAATGTTTTAGATTTTGAAGTTTGCTTTTTTTTTTTAATATTTGTATGAGCGTAGCTAATTTGAAAACTTGAACTTTTTTGAGCATTCTCAACTTCAGGTTTTTTGATTAGGGATGCTCAGCTTGTATTCTATGGGGTTTTTTTTAATATAATTATCCTTGAATTATTATATAAACACTAATTCAGAATATGTACCATTTCTGAACAGATCTACATAACTCAGTGAGCTAATATTTCCAAAAGACCAATGCATGGTATCATAAAATCATACGGCTTAAAAGATCAAGCCAAAGTACTGTATAAATCAAAGAAATTTAATAAAATAAAACTTACCAAGATAGCTTCATTCCACACTATGACAAGCCTAAAGAAACTAGTACTTGCCAAGTTTTGGTACAGAATCAAGGAAGAACATCCACAATTACCTAAAATGCTATTAAAATAGTCCCTACAAATATACATAAGGTGAAATTTTTCTCACACACTTTAATTTAAACAACACACACCATAATGGAATGAAAAGATAAGCAGCTATGACAAGTTGTCTTCAATCAGCAAGCACAGACAGGCATGGCAACATACTACTTTAATCTCAGCACTAAGAATGCTGAGGCAGGAGGATCACAAGTGACCCTACAGGTAGAAGGAAGGAAGAAAAGAAGGAGGAAGGGACGGAGACAATAGGTACCATTTCCTACTATATCCTTCCACTGCACATACCTCACATATATACCCATGTTTCTAGAAACAAAATTGGGACTCCAACCATATTGTCTCCCACACAACCTTAACCTAAAAAATCATACATTAAACTACTTTTCAGATATGCTCAAACTTCAGAATGTACTTTGCTCATATCAGAAAGACACATACTTATAACTTCAGCTAATTAAAGAAATAGTTAAAAAGAGGCTATATTAAGCCTGTCTCAGGGACATTTAAACTATGTAACTAAAATTTTGAGTCCCTCAGATGATATCTCCTAAAAAAAAGGATGAGATGAAAATTTATTCTTCTAACCTGTAAACCAGACTTTCACATTATAACATGGCTATAATTCCATGATAACTATTGTGGGTTGCATTGTGTCATTTCCCCCTAAAAAAAAAAAAAAATTGAAATCAACACCCTAGTTAGTACCTATGAATATGACTTAATTTGGAGACAGTCTTTGTAGAATGGTCATGTTGAGATCATTAGGGTAACCCCTGATCCAACAGAACTGGCATTCTAAGGAAGAATGCCATGTGAACAAAAAGATAAAGTCAGAAGTATTGCAGCCACAAGCCAAGAACCAGCAAAGATTGCCAGTATTATGATTTGTATCTGAAATGTTCCTCACGGGCTCAAGTGCTAAAGCCTTGATTGCTAACTGGTGGCACTATTACGGGAGGTGGCACAAATTTTATGAGGCAGGGCCTAGCTGGAGGAAGTAAATCGCTGGAGGTGTGCCTCTGCAGGTTAGACCTGGACCCTGGTTCCCTCCTCTCTGCTTCCTATCCATCATAAGGTAAACAACCTCTTCCTCCACATGTTCCCATCACCATGATGTTCTGCCTCAGCACAGGCCCAGAATCAACAGTCAAGGACTATGGAGTGAAACCATGAGCAAAAATAAATCTTTCCCTCTTTAAGATGTTTATGTCAGATATGTGTCACTATGACAAAGTCTAATATACTCCCTTAAGTTGTTAAAGTAGGTACTTTGTCACAGCACCAGAAAACCTGACTAACACAACCAACAACCCAGAAGGAAGCAGTAAAGAGGCATGAACAGATTCTCCCTCACAGCCTTCAAAACGAAAATCTGCCAACATCTTGATCTTGGATTTCTAGCCTACAAAACTATGAGACAATAAATTTCTGTTGTTCTAAACCATTCAGTCCTTGGAACTATGTTACAGCAGCCCTCATAAACTAATACAGTAACTATAAGAAGTAGACTTTCACAATTTAAAAAGTGTAGATCAAAACTGGAAGATTAAAAAAAGACATATTTGAATTATAAAAAATGCATTAATTTTCTCCCTAAACTTAGCAAAACTATTTACTAAGCTTTAGGATTATGGACAAGTTATCCTCTTCAAGCTTTATTTTCTTACTTGTAAATTAAGAGTTATAAGGATCAAAATGAGATTATATAGTCATCGCTGTGATTACAGATTGCTAACTAGAAAACTAGTTACTCTACATACACCAAGCCATAACTACTTACCTACAAAAGATGTGCTCACACCCTCCTAAGCACACAGGCTCCCTCAGAATATTATTACTGTTGGAGGAAAAGAAAATAGTTAAGGCTTAGGACATTGTTAGATAAACATTTCATACTCAGTATTTCTAAGTCTCAACACCATCATTATCTCACTCTTTCTCAAAGCAGAAAATATTAAGGGTGTAATTCATTTGAAAGGCTGTTACTTTCATGGGTTACATACGCTCATTAACACACATGTTAAATCCCAACAGCAACTATCAAACACAGCACAAGTTATAGTATAATTTATACTATATGTGCTGGAAAATTAGAGAAAGAAACAACTTTGTTCAAGCATCTTTAAGTCTCTTACATGAAAAAAACAACCACTGGCTGTTTCTTTAAACCGCTAAGATAAATCTTCACTGAATGACTAAAAGACCATAAATCTCAAAATGCGACCCACAATTAGAAGGACCACAAGATGTATTGTCCAAATGAGAACATCTCTGACAGTCAGGGGGTAGGCGGGGAGAGGAGGGTGATAACTATACAGGATGCTGGGACAACAGGTATAATCCTAGACTGCTGCAGGAAAACAGGACATCTGGTCAACTTGACCAAAAGAATCCATGGGTTCCCATGAGAAAGTATGTGTTTCTTGCTATTAAGTAGCCATCTACTTTTCATAGCTGTCTTACTTACTACAAAAGCAAACATTTTTTCAGTACATACAAGTTTATTGTTTTGTCTTTAAGCAATTTCAAATAGAAATCATCAGGCTGGCAGTAGGCAGAATGAATGAGCTGTGTCACATTGAAAGAAAAGAAGCAAAATATTCCCAATGCTGTCTATCAAAATACCTGCTACCTTTGAGATTCCTAAGAAAGAACTGCTACTTATTAATAAACAGGCTTCAAGTCATTACATTCAGTGGGAGTACTACAGCAAGAGCACATCAAAAAAGTAAAGTCTTGAAAGGGTGAACATTTTCTTGCTTGGTTTATTACACTAACCCTAAGACCTTTACGTATTTACACCATTATTATCCAATTACCTCTGTACACAAACCTTGTATCAATAAAAACGTTCTCTATATTTCTTAAAAGATCAAAAGTATCACAGTGTACATTTTAATAGATATGAATATTAAAGTGAAATTGAGCTTTCAGAAAAAGCACTGAGAGTACACAGCCATGCTATTTTCAAGTTACTGTTTGAAAATGGTGCTCACTGATGTTATAAAACCCACTACTTTTTACAAACTCACAATATCTTGACTTTTCTGGCAATTAAAATGGTCTCTTTTACAATGTTCATGTGCTCCTTTAATTTTTGTACATTTGTCCTCTTTCCCAATGGAGTGGGCTGAATTGTACTTCATTGCAAGCTCTGCCCATAACATCTCAAAAGTGATGTTATTGACCTCCTTTTATCACAATATCCTTCCTGTATCTTTTGTTGCATCATTGTGGCCAAACTTGATTACTCTCTCTTAGAACTCTGCTCAACCTCATAACTCCTTCTCCATCTAACCCAGGCCACAGGTTTACTACTTGGAGCTATGCTTGTCACTACCCTAATTCTACTGATCTTTTAGATACTCACAATTGCCAGTCTGTAATGCCAGACAGGCCCCAGAGTCTACTTCTTCCTTCTCTGCTTAGGGTGTAAATACCACAAGGAAAACAGAAAGATAGTCAGGCCTGGGGCACATGCCTGTAAAGCCTGTACTTGGAAGGCTTAGACAGAAGGACCATGAGTTTGAGACCAGCCTGGGTCACACAGCAAGTCAAAGAACCAAAATACAGGAAAATACATAAATTTATCTCTAAAAACTTGGTAGCTTCCTCCCTCATCTTTTTACCTCTGAAATACTACATGATCCATGAGTAAACAAAGCAACAAGCAGGTGACTATGCAAAATAATCTCCCTGCTCCTAAACCTCCTTTGCCTTACTGAAGTTAAATGGAGTGAGTTGAGACCACCCAAACACCAGGAACCTTAGCCCCACTCAGGTCTCCGAGGAAAAGACCTCCTTCAGTCATTTTTTTTCTTGATTATAGCTCATATATCTTCCCAGTTTTCTAAAATACCCGAGTCTCATCAGTCACCTTTACTTCCAGTATCATCTATACACATACAGGTAAAACATGAGCCTAAAAAAAGAAAGAAAAAAATCCACACTTCCTTTTAATCCTGCTTCCCTTTTACCTCCTGCCCCAGCTCCTCATCTTCAACAGACAAAAATTTTAAAACAATTGCCCAGGACAAGCAAACTACATCTCTTTATCATCCTAGCTGTGACTCCCACCCTCCTCCCTGAGCTACTCTCCAGTGCACCTTTGGTCCTCCTCCTTACTCCTTGTGAAGCTAGAAGGAGGATCTCACCTTCTTCCCTGAAATGTTGCCTTCCACTGGGTTTTCATTTTCTTAGCGCTCATTTATCTGCCTACTTCAGTACTTGCTTAGCTGCTTCTTTTCCTACCCTGCATGTTGGCAGACCCCCTGGATGCAGCCCCACAGCCTCCTGGCTTTCTCTGGCAATATACTTCCCTAAATGCCTTGATTCTGTCCCTCAACTTTGATTTTCCTTCCTAAAATGACTCTGAACCCTTTGTAATCCTTTGTCTACAACTCTTACTCTTCACCCTAGCAGCAAGATGCTATCGTGTCATTAGCAGCAACTTAATAGCTATGAATAATAGATCAGAACTAATTACTCTAATTAGTGAACTATATTTTTTGCGGTTGTTAATAGATGAGGGAAGACATGGGAAATGTAAGTGAGAAGTCTACATGTGCTTGTGTGCTGGGGGTAGAGCAGGGAGGGAGAGGGTAGAACCAACCCCAAAGACAATGAATGGAAGAGCTCTGAAGCAGACATGGCATAGAAATGGTACCGACCTATGCCAAAGCCAGACTTTCAGAAAATGGCTAGAGCTTAGCTTAGGAGATACCATGGAATAAAAGAATTTTTCTTACAACTAGAAGATACTGACCAAAATCTTAAATGCACCCAACTTTAACTACACTATTCCCTTGCCAGAAATTTATACTTCAGGTACAATAGACACTTGCACCAATGAAACACCAAAGATATCTAGGTAAATTCTAAAAGCTTCCAGAGATTAAAAAATAATACAATTAAAATGTCATATATAGTGTTTAAAAAGAAATCAGAATAGCATAAGATTTCTCAAAGGTAGAAAGAGATGAGACAGAACAGTGCGGTGAGGCCTTCAAAATAATAATGGAAAGTTGCTTTATGCTTTGCATTCCATATCCAGTCATCTTCCATAGTACAAACTTAGAAGAAAATTCATCTTTGACAGTAGGAAGTAAGGAAATAAATACATAATATCTAAAATGGAAAACACTCAAGAAATAGATATATAGCCACAGTGGTGCCTCACACTTATAATCCCAGGTACTTGAGCAGAAATAGGAGGACAGTTGGAGATCAGCCCAGGCAAAAAAACAAAGAACAAAGGTAGGGAGACCCTATTCTCCAAAACAAACCAGGCATGATGATGCACACCTGCTGTAATCCCACCTACTCAGGAAGTAGAGGTAGGAAGGTAACAGTCCAAAGCCAGAAAAGCATGAGACCCTATTTGAAAAATAAACTAAAGAAAAAAGGGTTAGCACTGTTTCACAAGCCTAGTAACCACCAGGCTAAATTCAAATCCCAATGCCACACAGACAAAAAGAAAAAGAAAAAAAGGAAAGAAATAGGGATATAAACATTATTATTTGGAAATCTAGAGGTAACTCAGGGGTGATGAGGGATAAGGCAAAGAATGTGTTAATTACCATCTTTGTCCTGAATTCTGTCAACCATAATGCACACATAATTTTAATCTTTAATTTTGTACTTTAAAAAAATTTAAAGGTAGTCGAATGCATTAGGCGAATACCTACAAGCCTAGTAGCCACTCAGGAGGCAGAGATACAGAGGGATCAGGGCTCCAGGCCAGCCCAGTCAAAAAGTTAGTAAGACCTCATCTCAACCATCAAAGCTGGATGTGGTGGTGCATGCCTGTAAACACGATGATGTCAGTCAAGCCCTCTTCTGGTCATAAACATGAAACCCTATTCAAAAAAACCTAAAAGAAAAAGGGATGGGAATATGGCTCAAGTGGTAGAGCACCTGCCTAACAGGCACAGGGCCCAGAGTTCAAAACTCCAGTACTGCATAAATAAGTAAATAAATAAATAAATGTAAGGGTAATGAACAAGAATATTCACTCCAGCACTGCTTGCTACATCAAAAAAACTGAAACGACTTCAATTGTTACCAATAAGGAAGTGGTTAAAAATGATCATGATAAATCTACTTGACATACAGCATCCTCTTACCTGAGGACATCATACTCACCGATGTTATACAGACTCTCTTAAAGGGTATACACAAACTTGATGAGTGTAAATTACTGAGGACGATTCAGACTTACATCATTCACTTAACAAACATTTAATAACCATATACTGTAATGTTTTAGTTCTTTCACATATTCACGTACTATTTTCATTTTTAAAAAATTTAACATTAAGAAGCTCTTCACAATCTGCTAACAGCCAAGCCATGCAACCATCCTTCTCAATTCTCCTCCACAAAAAGTCCATTCTGGCTGGGTCAGTACCTATAACAATGCTCAAATATCCTATGTTTATTTCTAACCCCACAACTTTGCCTACACTGTTGTCCAGGCCTGGAATGCACTTCCTTCTCCCCAGCAGCTATCCAAGTCCAACACGTGACCCAAGCACTGTACAGGACGGTGTAATAAAAAGAACACAAAACAGATAAGGGTTTTAGTCAGCATGCCACCACTTAGCAAACACACCACAGCACACACCAGAAACACAAAGCTGACTGCTGCCACTCTTTCCTTCAAGGGTGGCAAGCTATATAGCTGGGTGGTTATATAAACCAAATTAATGTGTGACTCAAAAGAGATTTAAAATGTTCTAAAGTTCCAAAGACAGACGGCAGCTAGTAGGGCTTAAGAACTCAATGCTGAAAACTAAAGTCTGTTTTTGTTGTTTTTTAAGTTTGTAACTACCTGAT